GTGGTCGAATAAACAAGATAAGCTAATAAATTAGAAAAGAAAAATTTGTGGCTTACAATTTGGTATTAGAACAGGTCTCGAGTTTAACTCTATTGATTGCTTAGAGGAATCACACCATATGTTGACATCTGGCAGGTCCAATTTGCCTCCGACTGAGCTTGACTTGAGCGGTAGGGTGTTAAGAGAGTGGGGCTCTCGGGAGAGCTACGGCTCTTAGCTTTTATTCACAAGGGCGTTAACTTGCAGGGAAGTGTGATGGATTATAAGTAACTAAAGAGAATGACTTGAGAGACAATTCATGAGGTTCAAATATAAAGGGAAAGGGCCCATGAATAAGAATGCACTCCCTTTTTCAATTGGTTAAAGGTCTTGAGATACTTGGGTTAAATGTCTTTGGGTTTAAATAATACTGGGTTGGGTGACCTCTTAGGAAGTCTAAATTCAGGAGTTTGCATAGGTGTTTTGTAGACTCTACTCAGACCAATGGAAGAATGTTCATCAAATACTGATCTTAAAACCTAATATCAATACTCAAACTAGTGGAAGAATGCTCATCAAATACTGATCTTAAAACCTAATATCAATACTCAAACTAGTGGAAGAATGCTCATCAAATACTGATCTTAAAACCTAATATCAATAATTTATAGCAATTGCAAAGGTAAAGTCAACTCTATTAGTAGTATTGAATCATGACTATATAGGAGTTTATATAGTAAAACACCAATAGAACTTTGCACATTTGTAACATATATATACCAAAGAAATGCCAAATAACTATTTTAATCCGAATATTGAAAATTCACGTACTTCACAATCATCCCTTTAAAGGTCCAAATAAATTATTCTAATAAACCATTTAACTATAGATAATAAGCATTCATGAAAGTTTGGTGTATTTTTAACCAAGACATTAAAATATGAAATACCTAATCCATAAGTGCAAGACCATAATCTAGAGAACTTGGAACACCAAAGTCTAGCCTAGCCCAAGCCTCCATCATTGTGTCCCACAAGATCCACATCTAAGCTATAGTAGAGATCTCTAAAAGAATCCACTTTGGATAGTAAAGTTGGAACACCATTAGCAAAAGCATCAACTTTTACCTAGTGAGTTAGGTAGTCAGAAGTAATAATGACATACTTATTGCCAACAATTGACTATAAAAAAGGCTCTATCAAGTTAAATGCCACCAACTTAAATGGACAAGAAACTACAATTGATTATAATTGTTCTTCTGTAGCATGAAGGGTAATATTATGAGTTTAGCACCAAATACAACTACGTTTATACAAGATAATATCATATCACATCTTCAGCTAATAGAAAAATCTGTGCATCTTCTCAATCACACGATGATGTTCCATATGCCTATTTAGAATAGGAGAATTATGGTAGGCATGGAGAAAGTATGGAATAATAATTGAAAGCACCACTAGCCATAAATAATCATCAAGATCCGTCCCTACAAAATAAAAAAGGTAGTTTTTAAGACAATATTGAGAATGTAAATAAACATGGCAAGTCATTAGCAAGTGATGTAAGATTCTCAAACCTATTGTGAAGCCTTCAGATCCATAGCTCAATCTTTTGAGCCTCACAAACCTTGTCAAAAGAAGGTAAATCTAGCTCTGCACCTTGTGGACACTAAACATCAATTATAACAATCGCCAACAACATTGAATCCTTATCCAAAAAATCTATAAATGCTGAAATAACAAGCTTGTAAAAAATATAAGAAGAGAGTGAAAAAGGAAGAAGAGTTCGAGAAAGGGCATTAGCATCAGTTATAAAACTCCTTAAGCAATGAATAACATCAAAATTATATATTTAAAACTTCAATGCCCACCAAACAGTATGATTAGTCAAGTTCTTCCACTTCAATAATGAAGTAATTGCTACATGATCAACTTGTAATAATGTTTGAGAACCAGATATGTATGAAGTTTCTCAAAACCCTAAATTACTGTTAAACACTCCTTTATTGTGGATTAATTCACCTCTATTGGTTGTAATGTAAGATTGATATATGTAATGGGATGGTATTGATCAGGTATACTCAAGCTTTTTTGTATCAACACACCTCTAAAATCGATATTAGAAACATCCATACATAAAGTGGTGTAATGAGGATACACCAAAACTAAAAAAGTTATCAACAACTCTTTGAGATCCCTAAATGCCTGATCCATAGACCAAATGAAAGATAATGTTAACAACTTCAACAATGCTCACAATAGTGCAATATGATTAAAAAGATGATCAATGAAATGGCTAAGATATTGCCACATCATTCACATATTTTAGAGTAGGGAACTTGAGAATAACTATAAATTTGTTAGAATCAACTTGCAAACTTTCATGAGAAATATAATACCCAAAATAAATAGTGTTCTTGGACCTAAATATGCTCTTTGATTGTTTTAACTTTAAATAACTTCCCTCGGCCAATCATTGCAACACCTTATGAACATCATAAATGTGTTCCTCCTACATCCCTTCCAAGTGAATCAAGACATCATTGATGAAGTCAGCAATCATTTTCGGTATATCACAAAAAAATTTGTTCATCATCCATTAAAAAGTCGATGGAACATTGTTAAAACCAAACGACATCACCAAGAATTCGTACAAACCAAATAATGTACAAAAAATAGTCTTGGAAATATCTTCTTCAACCATCAACACTTACTAATACCTAGAGGCAAAATCTAACTTAGTGAATCAACTTCCCCCCAGACGATCTAGGACATTAGTAGTGTAAGTAAGAAGGTACACATTCGGGATCAAAACTTCATTTTATGAACGATAGTTAATGTAGAAATGAATACTCTTATTAAACTTTGTTACAAGATGATGTTCACACACCCAAATACTCTACAACTTTTAAATAACACCCTTTTCCAACATCTCCTTGAGATCTTTTTTAGTGATCAATAATAAATAGGACTTTTGATTGAATAAGCATCCTTAATTAAAATAGGATAACATATTGCAATCTTAGCCCTAGATGATAAGCTAAATTCAAAGAGATCAGCATACTCCTTCATGAGCTAATCAACTATTGCAACACAAAAATTATCAAAGGGATTTAAAAAGGGAATAGAAGAATGTTTGTGAGTTATGCTTGGATACATGTTCTACAGCCAAGAAAAAGAATCATGGTACAACTCAGACCACTCGCTCGCCAAAATTCAAACAACGGCATATCAGATAACGTCATGCCACTGCCAATGGCATTCTTTTTCTTGGCCATACAGCACATATCTCCTCTATGCAACAGTGAAGCACTGGTATGATAGAGGCAATGGTGTCAAAGCATGGGTCTACAGTACATATCTCACTCTGATAGTTTGCACTGGAACTCCTACCATGGTAAGCCTTACCATGTACACTTGAACTATGTAAGTCAACAAGGGAAGCAAGCTCCATAAAAAGAAGAGAATTTGATGTGAATCCAAACTTGCCATAGAAAGTCAGGCCGTGCTGAGCTCCTCATCCAGAGTTTCTGAGGCAGCACACAGTATGAGACCATGTAAGCCTTGCAAGGATCCATGCCTCACAAGTGTAGCCTCCCAGTGTGTGTCCAGGCCACTGACATTCCTATACTGCATAGCAGAAGGACAAAAGTTTTTCTCCAACAGCATTGAGAGTGTTGTCTGTGACATGACGTCGAGCATACTGGGGTCCCCAGTCCTCAATGCAAACGAGGCCACTCCTCATGTCCCTGGGAAGCCCCACTTGACTTTTGATTCCACATTGAGTGCTTCACATACCTGGCATCTTGATGACACAAAATGTCTGCTATTTCCATGGAAATCCAGTCATGGGTGTTTAGCACAGCCATACGTTACAACCCCCAGGTGTGTATGCTTTCAAGGTATATTCATAGTAATTTAATATAAGCCACACAAACAAAACCATGTGAATGTTTATGAATAAAATTGTTAATCATGAGGAGGTACATGATGTACGGCCAAGAAAAAGAATGAACAGGTCAGCCATTGGCAGCGGCATGACTTTACCTAGTATGCAGTCGTTCGAATTTTGGCTAGCGAGTGGTCTGAGTCGTACAACGATGGAGCTGAATGCAAGGGTGAAGCACTGGTATGATGGAGGCAATGGTGGCAAAGCACGGGCCTACAGTACATATCTCGCTCTGATAGTTTGCGCTGGAACTCCTTTACCATGGTAATGTATACTTGAACTATGTAAGTCAACAAAGAAGAAAACAAATACCAGGGAAGCAAGCTCCATAAAAAGAAGAGAATCTGATGTGAATCCAAACTTGCCATAGAAAGTCAGGCCATCTAATTCTGACAAGAACCATAGTTACATTTTATATATCAGACGGTTGAGACTTTGCATAAAGAAAACAGGTAGCTTCTTGCTGCTTTCCTGCTCTTAAAACACGTGTTTAACGCAAAACAAGTAGCAAACATTCTTTGACCACAAATTCCACTTGACTATAGATGACGTATGACATTGTCCTGCAAAAACCTTTGTTTCAAAAAGAAGGCTTGTCAAACACATCCTAAAGTTCTCAAGTTGCCAAAGACCACGTCTCGTCCTTTTGGAGACAGGATGGCCTACGCTGGAGCGAAGCATGTAACGTGTTGTGCAGCTTGAGCCGCTTACAAAATTGGACTGAAATATACACAGCGTAAAACTTAGGCGGTGAATAGTGTCAGTATTGAGGAATTTTCAATCCAGGGCTTCTTCTTCACAACATTGATCCAGAGAAGGAGCGGAAGTAAAAGATTGTCAAAGTTAGTAGTGACCCCTATACTGCTGTAATGGTATTCATATATTTGTAGTAACAGAGGAAGCACTATACAGTCAACAATATGTTCTCTATTTCTTCTGTTTGTACGGTTCATTTTTAGAATTCCAGATGGAGACAAAGAAGTGAGAGAGAAAATGGTATTTACTCTTTTTAAAATTTACAAAAAAATGGGCCTGAGGGAATTTACCCAGAATCAAAACCGTCTATCACATATTAGCAGACACTGACCTGCCTGTAGTGGCTGGGTCTGCCGTCTGGATATGTCACCAGCGTCATTCTGTAGCCTTGACGCTTGAGAACCAACTGTTGACTCAACTCGAGCTGCTCACAGGCCATTTCTGTGGCCTGCATACTCGAACCTCGGATGACTTTGGAGTGCAGCAGCATGAACTTGCCATCTGCCAGCTCCACCACCGCGTTGTGCCATGGTGTTGGGATGTGGAAGTTCTTCTCCTCGGAAGAACGCTGCGCTGCCACTAGAGAGGAATGGATGATGTTGATGCCATACTTGGGACCTCTGTTTGGATGCGGGTGGATGGAAATGCGCAGCTGCAAAGGGAAGAGCCACTCCACCATGGCCGAGTATGCACGGTTCCTGAGGATCATGAGGAAGGCAACCTGGCTGCACAGCTTCTTCTTGGCCGACTTTGACGGGAGATTCTTGCAGCTCTTGTGTTCGTACAAGTCCTCGAGCATGAACCTGGAGAAGCCACGATATAGATTGCGTGTCTCCGGGTCCTCCTTGATCTCCTTGGTGACGGTTGACTCGTCACATCCAAACAAGCACATGAGAGCTCGCCTGGCATTCTCTGCATTGGCGGTGAGCTCAGTCGCAACGGGATGCTCCACGGTGGTGTTGGAGATAAGCTTTGCAATGTCTTTGTCACTGTGGTTGTCCAGCAGAAACTCATCCAGGCGAAAGAAATTGACAAGGCCGGGATACAGATTGTGTGCCATCTCCCAAAACATCTCGCCGTAAGAATCCACAGCAGCGTCGTCCGAGCCGACGAGATCAGAGAAGACATGGCCATCCGAGGCGACGTTGTAGTGCACGCCTGGAGCATACACGGCCTTGATGAGATCCGCAACAATCTTCATGGAATGGATGGCCAGCTCCTCGGCCTTGTCCGGGCACTTTCCCAGAGTCTTGTCGGGATTGCACGACTTGACTGGAAATGCGGGCAAGACGAACTCGAGTGGAATGTTTCTTGCGACGTGGTACCTCACCTTGTCCGCAAACCTCTGCTTGCCCCCACTTGTGAACCACTGGTCGTGCTTTGGGAAGTGGATGTAATTCTTCTCGATGATGTCCACAACTTGGGAGGTGATGTCGTCCACCTCTTGAGGTGTGTGCGAGCTGGAGGGCTCCAGAAGGCAATCTCTGGTCATGACGCCGTTGTCCAGCAGCAGAGAGGCCAGATAGCTCATGCTCTCGCCGTCCTCCTCCTGGAGATTGGGATCCTGGATGAAAACCACGCCCTCGAACCCGTTCCCAATGTATCTCTCGTAGACGGTGGCTGTCCACTCCTGGTCAGCTGCTGCTCCAAGCATGGAAATGGTGTACTTGTTCATCTCTGGAGCAACTGAGCGTGTGGCCTGCTTAGCCGCCTCTAAATCTTCCGCCTTGTCACTCGCGACCATGGAGGAGAACAAGAAATCACACTTTGCTGCTAGTACTGGGACATGCCTGGACGCAGATTGTGAGACGAAGCCAATCTCACCACTCTCTCTGTGGATGTACAGGAATGCAATCTTGTCCTTTGGATATGAACTTGCCATGGGTGTTATGAAGAAAAAGAGAAAATCTCAAATTTCAGGCTAGAGGATGGAAGATTGCAGACTGGGATCGATGAATTGTCTGGGTTTCCCTGGTTGGGCTTTTATACCAGGAAGCCGCCCGCCTTCCCGGTACCTACGCGCTTGACTGGAAAATTCTCAAACGTGGGCTGGGAAAATAGAACGCGATTGACAAAGTCACACAACTGACCATGAAGCTTCACACGTAGTTTCTTGTTTGTTTCTTTTGACAACGTTTGATTCTTTTCACAACCATGTAGAACAAGGAACTTTTTGTGTACAAATGCTAGTCTCTAGAGAATGGTGTCCCAAAGAATCTCTATATTTCCTTTCTTGCCTTCGCATGAATGCCTCTAGTATGATACAGCAATCGTTTGTTGCATCTTCAAACTGGAGCAGCTGCTGCCTTGCCTTTAAAATTGATCAAAGGATTTGTATTTTCCCACACTGCAGCATCCTTGTAGCCAACAAATAGAGCTCATCTAATACTGCATCTCCAGCCGGCAGTTTAAAAGCTGCAAGAACTTAGGTATGTACCTTTTAACTTCTTATTATTTGGAGAGGCTCGGTTGTCGGGATTACAGTCCGGGCTGATACCCACTGTGTCTTGCAGACCGAGGTGCTTGGCAGAAAAGGCACATACTCTTACCCGTGTAAAAGCAAAACGAAAGCTTCAAAAGCCAAAACTAAAATCTTAGTGAGTGACACAAAAGAACTGTTGTTTCAGCAGCTGAAGGGGGCATGAAGAGCGTGAACCTGCCGTCGATGCACAGTCTGTTGTTAAAGACGGTAACAGATTGTGGTGCTAGATAACTAAAAACCAGTCAAGCTCCCATCTGAACGGAATGCAAGAGCAAACTGCTCTGAAACACAATGTAAGCAATGTGTTCATCAGATCTTCCTTGGAGTCAAACTGGTCAACAGGCAGGCCTCTTGGCACTCAAAAAAGCGTTGCATGATTGCAACTGCAGAGAGACAGATGCTAACTATTTCATCTAAAATTTTTGTACTAGAGAATGGTCTAATCCTTGGAGGTTTAATTACTTTGATGCATTGCCCACTAATATTCTTTATATTCTGGCAATCATACACTTCCCAATGAAGATAGCAATCATCTTTTGGTGCTCAAATCATTATATTATTGCAACACTGTCCATTGGAGATATGTGGGAAACTCACGTAAATGCTGAATATCATCCCAAAAATCAACAACACACATGTAGATTGGAGCATTTTCCTAAACATTTTGAAATGCATATTTGAACATGTCGATGATTATGATGATGTATTTTAACAATTGGTTTGTCTTCATCAAGGACCATCTAAGTTAATGATGCAATTTAGCATTTATTTTCGAGCTTCTTGCTTTATGTAGAGCCAAATAATACTCTTTGCTTGGCACAATGTTATAGTGCATCACTTCTTCTTCTCTTTCTATGGGAAATGGTTCTATTTTAATAGTGATGCTATTACTTCCCGAGTTTATAGACAAAGGCAAGGATATGGTCATGGTCATGATGTCTGCTGCTAGGCATTATAAGTGATTAATTTTTCCATTCTACTTTAATCATTTAACCACACCTTTAACTATTTGGAGGAGTCTCACTCACAACCTCCATAAGTCTTATTTAGGACTTGGGGATATGCTAGCCTCGTGAATGGTATATATGGCATTTAACCTTTGCACTTGGTTTAAGTAGTATATATTTCTGATCTCATAACTAACACCCAAAGGTACTATTGATATATCCACTTATTATACTAAGGCCATACCCATTCACCTTTATCATATCAGTAATCCAAGATCACCTACATCACAATCTTATCTCTCAAAGATTAAGCCATCCATCCATGAATGGTCATCCTTTGACCACACTTTAGCACCCTTAAGATGCTCAGAAACATGTGAAACACCCTTCCCCAATATCCCTTCTTTTGTCCCTACCAAGTGCTTTTTCATCCAGGGCTATGCTCATCAACCCCATCAGTATGTCAAGGATCAAAAGCCTAACCACTAAATCCCACTGTTCTTTGGGACTTCTTCACCATGTGATCGTGTCTTTAGTCACTATTGCTCCTCTTCCTTTCTATAGTCTTTGACTTTAAGACAATATTTCGAAACACCGCAACCTTACACAAGCTTCATAGGTACTCTCCCCACCTTTCACCCTTAGGTGCCTAACCATGTGGCTAGAGTGAGGTTTTAATAAGCCACACTAGGTATCTAAATAGGTAATGCCACTCAAACCTGGATTGAGAGTATTGACCATTTGATCTCCCAAGGGAGCTAAAGCCGGTTTTTGAACATTTCACCAAACTACCCTGCTTGTCTATCTGTATTCACTCAAGCTTTAGTGGATATATCATCACCCAACACATGGGTATAACCTTCCTTGGTCACACTAACCTTTCCTAGCTAAACTAGTTCCATTAAAATCCTCCCCTTACTATACTTTTGGAGCTCACCAAACCCCTTAGGGTTTAGGAGATGAATGCTTTGGGCTTTCACCCTCGGACTCAAACTTGGACTTAGACTCAGACTTGGTCTTGGTTTCGGTTTCGATTTTGGTTTTGATCTCGGTCTCAGTCTCAATCTCAATCTCGATCTCGGTCTCGGTCTCGGTCTCTTTCTTAGTCTCGGTCTCAATCTCTTTCTCAACCTCAACCTTAGACTCTCTCTCAAGTCCATCTCAGACTCGACCTCGAACTCCATCTCGGTTCCATCTTAGGTCCATCTTGGATCCATCTTAGGTCCATCTTAGACTCCATCTCAAGTCCCTTTTAGGTCCATATTAGACTCCATCTCAGGTCCATATCAAACTCCATCTTGGGTTTATCTCAAACTTCTTCTCAGACTCCATCTTGGACTTCATCTCAAACTCCGTCTCGGGTCCATTTTAGACTACATTTTAACACTTCCATGTGTCATGTATTGGTCCTTTTGTATCCCTTTCCTAGAGACTCACTTACTGCTTGCTTCATGCTCGTTTCTCGAGCACTTCATTGGTATTTCCACTCCCACTTTCGACTGTCCAAGTCAGAGCTTTTAGTCCCAAATGTGTTATGCTCGTGGCTTCTGCTTTGGCCACTACCATGTGGCACCCTTTCGGCTCCACTTTGGGGATTAGGTATTTGTGACACTTTGGGGCTTAGGGATTTGTGTCTCATAAACATGTGATGAAATTGGTCATGTTAGCATTTTTCGGATTAGCAACCTTTATTTTCTGGGTGGAAACCCTGGCGTTAACAACAACCTGTTGGTGCTGCTGCAGTGGAAGGTCAGGACACCAAGATGTTTTTGAGAAACAAGGAGTCATACAAGTAGTAGAGGGTCCTTGTGTGAATAAATCTGTGACCCTTCCATTTTTTTTTCGAGAGTATTATCAAGGGGTTTATTTGGCACAAGCTCATCCAGTATTTACTTTCCAAGCTCATTTTTATAATAAGATGTCTCATATTATTCTATCTATATTAGTTAATATAAGCTTGAGTTTATCTTCTATTGCTTAGTTTATGGTCACATGTTGCTATCTACATTTATGTCATGTGGCAGAGTTAGTTTTCATTCTTTATGACAACAGTTGTACATATGCATGTCCATGGAATAAGGTAGACTTAGTTATGCGTGTGGGAGATCTCGAGCTTAAACTGTAGTTGTTGCGGGTGCTGCTGAGTCAAGTTTTTGCCCTCATCCTTTATATGGATTGGTTACAGCACAATCATGTCAAATGTGACTTTACTACTTTTCCTATTGTCTTATACTTCCTTATATTTTTTGTATTCCTCTCATTTCTGTTCTTTTTTGTCCTTTTGCCTTTATCACTTTTGTCGCTTCATTATTTCCTCTTATGTTTCTATTTTGTTCCTTTATTCCCTCTTTAGATCCCTTCAATGATTTTTGTGTTGTAGTGGTTGACCGACTCATGAAGGAGTATGCTAATCTCTTTGAATTTGATTTATCGTCTGGGGCTAAGATTGCAACACATCATTTTATTCCATTGGAGATGTTTGTCCAATCATAGTTCCTACTTATCATTGATCACCAATCAAATCAAAATTTTATATATAAATTCTCGGACTCCATCTCGGATTCCATTTTGGGTCCATCTCGGACTCCATCTCAGACTCCATCTCAGGTCTATCTCGAACTCCATCTCGGGTCCACCTCGGACTCCACCTCGGACTCCATCTCGGACTCCACCTTAGACTCCACCTCAGACTCCATCTTGGACACTTCCACGTGTCATGTTTTGGTCCTCTTGTGTCCCCTTTTCTAGAGACTCACTCATGGCTCGCCTCGTGCTTGTTCCTCGAGCACTTTGTTGGGAGTTCCACTCCAACTCTCAACCTTTTCAAGTCAGAGCTTTTAGTCCAAACGTGTTATGCTCATTTAGCTTTCGCTTCGGCCACTACCACGTTGTGCCCTTTCAGCTCCACTTTGGGGCCTAGGGATTTTGTGTCTCACAACTACTTATCTTGGGTACTGTATTTCTCGTGAAGGTTTGCAAGTTGATCTTGAAAAATTTGTAGTTATTCTTAAGTTCCTTACTCTAAAGTGTGTGAATGATGTGCAACCCTTTTTAGGCAAGATGCAATATCTTAGTTGTTTCATTGATCATTTTTTTTATTATACAAAACCTGTTGTGAGTATTGTTGAACTTGTCAACATCATCTCTCATTTGGTCCATAGACTATGACCAGGATATGGTGGAGTGCCCAAAACGATGGGCTTACTTAAGAGGAAGTATCACTAGCTAAATATGGCTAAAGAT